TAAGTTGCGTAAGGAAGCATCTAAACTCACCCTTTCTTGTACTGTTAGTTGTTACTTATAGGTTAGTGGAACGGCAATTAGATTCCTAAATTAGTAGGTACTAATTCGTAAGCTTCATCGGATCGCTACTTACAATGACAATACACCTTAGCGATATATTGTCATCGTAAGCTAGAATGCTTACGATGACAATATTAGTGAATACCCTAATGAAGTAGGACTCTTATTTTCGCCATAAGTTTTGCGTGAATGAAATGAAACATTTTATTTTGCTTCAAGTGCAATGACCTCGGCGCAAACTTCACTATTTTCATGTGTTTACCTAACACTCGTAGTTAAATGACCTTCCTTCGATGTATGTCATTTGTATTGACGTAGAATTCAAACAGCACCGACCGTGTGTATTGTTATTTAGTAATTTTATAACTAGTTTTCCGTCAGAATTAGATACAAGAACGAAGGATAAGTGAAGTTTCTGGGATAAGAAAGGCTACTTACAATTATGCTTGTACGCAAACATAGCCAGTTTATAAAACTATACTATTTGAATTGTTTACTCAATTTAAAGTCATTTTTAAAGGTTTCTTACTTCACGTTTTTGGTTTAAACTGGAGGCTCTAAATCATTTCAAATAATTATAATAATGAACAGTCTACTTAAGCTGAACAAAATCGATCAGAAGAAGTTTTCTGAGAGTGCAAAGATTTCCAATTTTACATACAAAGTGAGAAATCTTTCCAACTGTAAGTAAGCGGACGGAAAACCATATATATCCATAAAGCTTACATAAAAAATGCAAGTGCATAAGTTGCAACCCGATCTTATACCACAGGGAACCTTTTCTTCCAGTAAACTCGAGGAAACTGCACCAAATATAAACAACACGTGTTCGTGTATTTTCCTCTTATATTCCCACAACATTTTACAAGTAACAGTAGACTTGTATTATTTTAAAATTATCACAGTATGTGAAATACTTATTGCTAACATGATGGAACGTTCACATACGACAGTCGCGCAGCTGACTCTGAGGAATGTAATATTAGAGTACATGGAAACTGGTATCGTGTGTACTTCCCATAGGAATTTTCATTAGATTATCGTTTCTGCGAGCTCTTACCACCTCACATTCGTCACGTCGTGTCGCGTGTGACGGATCGCGCCATACACCGATAGGGTTGCTTTAGGAAACTCACATATACGTACCTAAGATACACATAAGCTCACTTTGCACACGCCTCTTTTGGGAACCAATCGCGGAAACGACCTTGAATGTACCGAATCTTATCTTTCTACAGTAGGTCAGTTAGAAGTCAAATAAAAGCTGATACAAATATATTGGATTAGTTAATAAATATAGATAAAATTGAATTTAAAAAGTCACGGTGCACTGTCATGTTTGACACAAATGGAAATATTTGGACACACCTTCACTTCCGAGATTAACAGATATGAGTACGTAAATACCAAATCCTCATATCTGACCAATGAATCCTTTCCCTCAAATGCACATTTCAATGTCATAACATTAAAATTTCCAGAGGATACGGACACTAAGACCTCAGGGAATGGAAGCTTAATTCTGTGGACTGTAGATATGCCCAAACGCAGCCTGAACGATCAGAACAGTCCGAGACAGCCCTACATTCGGCACACGGGTCGACGGATTGATCGAGGAATTACGTGGCTAACATCTACCAAAATGATTGATAACCGTCTTGGGAAAGGGAATTATTGTTGGATCCCTGATAGGCGTTTAGTGCGATAGTTGATTTCGATGCTTGATGGCGTCGTTAGAGACCCTAGTACAGAGCTATCTCCTTTGAGGCTCCCATTCTCTCCGTATATGTGTCGCAGATAAGAATATTACGTGTCTTATCTCTTATTCTGTAGTCAACAGATTTTGGTTTATCGACACAAGTGTCAGATCGTCAGATCTTTCTGTCTACATACCCGCCAAATTGAACTAAATTCTAGTACGAATAAGAATAGTTAAAAGTTTTTGACTGAACAAAAAAGTCATCTCCCCCAATAACAGTTTTGATAAACTGTTTCCTAAATAACAGTTACAAATATTTTTTACACAATCACATGACCTAATTTATGGTTGATAACACCACATTCCTCGCTCACTTTTATGCGATGTGTTTCGCGATTTAATTATGATATTCAATACTATCAATTGACATAGTTATTAATTAATATCGTCTTATGATTCCTTGATGTTTAAAAAGCTTACATTAAACTACCCTACTACTAACTATTTAATTTTAATCCTTTAGTTGGAAACATAAATTATTTTGAGTACCAGCTTATACAACACAATATCCTACCATCGTTTCAACTGAATATTTTTAAGAATCCAATAAAGTTCCCGACTCTATGATCGTGCCCGTGCTCACTAGAGCAGATAACAGCCCATCTATATTATAAAAGTTTATTAAAAACGAATATTTTTATCACTTGCCAAATCTATCCGTAAATATTGAATGACTCATTTTAATAAACAAGTTTTGATTATGTACTGTTATTTGCCCGCTATCAGTTCATGGTCAATATCTTTATTATCGATCGTTACTACTACATACATACATATGTATTTATTACATTTGAAACCGTATTAATTGATTATGTAAACAAAATTCGCGTTTTTGTAAAACCACGTGTAGCTACTGCGCGTAATTAGAATGTATTATTGGGTAATACGGATCCAATTAAAATGTTTATTGGTTTCGAGCTGTGGTTTCAAGTATCACAATCATAAGACAGTTGCATGCATGAATTTTAAACCGGCCTATATGGAACAATACGATCATCCTATATTGTACAAGACTTCACAAATTTAAGACCAGTATTCTAATGTAATTCGATGAGGAGAATTTTTAACCATTAATATCACACGTATCGTGCGTTTATTTGGCCCTGATTTGTTTTTTATTTTTCTCTGTAATGAGTAAGGATTGTTAATATCACATATGAATTTTACGCCATGAAAGTCAACTCCCAAGGTCAAAATTGCACAAATATTAACTTTCATAAAAAACGTATCGCAAATTGAAATCTTCTTATAAATAGAACGAAATAGTTAATTCACCGTAACATTAATATTGAGATATCTATCATAAGGAAGTCGTAATTCAAGGCTGACCGATCAAATGAATCGCTAATAATGATCATAAACATAGTCATAGAGAGAGATACCAACATACGTACATTTATATTTTGTGAATACTACGTTTTTGTCATTTTTATTACGAAATTTTCCTGTCATATTGTAGAAGCACATTGACGTCGTCATTATAGTGATTACATGTTTATAATACTCGTTAATGCATTATTACATATGTAACATCCTGTGACCTCGAAAATAGCGTATTACGTAAACACTAAACAGTACATTACGGAGATAACTTTTCGATCATGGCCGACATAAAACCACATTCTCAAAGATGTACAACTAACACAAGGGTTAATGGAAATCCTCAATCCAATCTGGCCGAATAATTGGTTAGACTTACCTTGCTTGGAACAAAGCGTACCAGCGACATTGTTCACTGGAGGTTTATTGGCAACCGATGTAACATACCATCGCAAATTAACACAGCCGACCTCAATATTATCGGGGAACACGGCCTTCGCCTTGTGTCCGAACGCACTACACACTAATAGCAAATTTTCCCCCAGCACCTACCACTCAAGAGGTAAATTGACAGTAATAGATTTGTTCCCTCCCCTTCCTTACTCTTTTGTAGTAAAATGTCGGCCACCACACTATTTTGTCGAGGTTTATATCCTCCCATTGTTGGTTTCAATTTCTAGTGCTGACAGACTTTTCTGAACCACACACGTAATTTTTCGATCTTTCTTTGGATAATGACTTCCTATGAAAAGACGGAAAGTTTGTACATGTTTCCCAGCCACAGTACCTACCCTTTCATTATCTGTAACAAAGCATAATAGGCCCAGTGATCTCTCACAACAATGCGCGTATTTATTATTTCAACAATAATAACGGAGCATCGATTATTGTGGCCTTTCCATACGGAGGAGCTACATTCGGTCCTTTGTTTTTCGGCGGCCATGTTTAGTGGCCAGCCTTTATTAGGGAATTGGAAGTGTGCGACACAAAGGGTCTTAAATTAAATCAACTACCCCAATATTCCCTGCAGGAGTGCTTTATAGATTGAAGGACGCTGTAACCGCCGCCTTACTGGCTCCATATTGACTAAAGTCTAGCTTGACAGCATAAAATAAAACGTGGAATGGACGGCACAAGTAACTTTCAACTATTTTTGCTTTTGTACCCTAGAACATTCGTGTCTGAGTGAATTAACTTCAGTCCTTATTTTTCAAATGTTCGCTGTTTCAGTTCTCCGTAAATACTGAGTCGCTTGCGAAGTATAGTGGATAGACAATGTAGTAAAGTTTGTCTCTCATTTTATTGTTCTATTCATGTTTCGCTGGAGCTACCGTGCAAATACATAGGAAATGTTTAATAAACTTTTATATAATACATCTACGACAAATACAAATATATTTTGCTGAGGTTTCAATAACTTTATTTTTCTCTTATACTTTAAATAAATAAATATCTTCTCTATTTTAAGAGTTAAACAATAAAACAAGTAGGTGATGATTTATCAAGTCTCATTAAACGAGTTTATTAATATTATCAATCTACATTTTAAGTTGTTGAAACGTACTTTTATTCAAATCTTTCTCGTATGTACCTACTTGATTCACAAGCGTGACTTGCAAAAATGTGTGTGACATTCTTTATTTTAGACGTTGCCGTTACAAGAGTGTAATATTCTATTTAGATAGGAAGGGTCAGTCATTGACCGGCCCAGACCGGCCTATACTTTTAACTCATTAATTGCTTCGACCTTGTCATCTATGAATCAGCTACTAACTTCGTGTTTCCCTTTATCTTGTGACACAATTCATAGTCATGAAGATCCGCAATAGTACGTACTTATTGGTTCTTTTTTTGTCATCAGGTGGTCCACAGCAGAAAAATGTCATCGCCGTCCAAACTTCGATCCAAGAGACAGGCTCGATACAGACGTCTGTTACACAAACGACTCCCAATCACAAAATGGCTTCCAGAATACAACACGGAAAAGGCTCTAGCAGATTTAATTGCAGGCATCACAGTGGGCCTTACGGTGATACCACAGGCTCTGGCATATGCGACACTGGCTGGACTTAGTCCGCAGGTAAAATTCAGATCCATACCTTATACCTAGATGAATATTGAGGTAGATGAATTTTTGACCTTCGGACCCGTTGGCCGCATACTCCATGAAATATTTAATCTCAGGCCGGAGCTTTGTTATCATATCTCCTATATGGTACAAGTCTTCCGAATATTTTTATCCCTGGAATCTGAATAACGTTTTAATATCGACAGGGTGCGGCAGGTAAAAGTCGATCTGTTCCAAATACGAGGATCTGATTGCATTTTTCTGGGAGCAATGACCGGATATTTGGAGACATAAGGTCGATTACCAAAAACCTTCGGACTACAGGTCTTAATATAAAATATCGGACACGTGTTGAAAGTATCAAGTTTATGTAATGGTTATATTTAGTTGCGAACTTTCGAATAAGATTGATTACTTCATATTTCATTATTCATAATGTGTTTACGTAGTTTGTGGTAACAGAGATGTGTTTACAGAACCTTATTTTGACGTGCGAACTTTTTTGCAAATAGTTCACGTGTAATATTCAAACTATGTAGAAATATTGTAGACGTATGTAGTACTTCACACTCGTCCCCTGGCGATAACTGAAGTACATATTCACACTATTCACAGTAGTAAATTTTTCAGGACGGTCTCTACTCATCGTTTATGGGATGTTTCGTCTACATAGTGTTTGGGTCTTGTAAGGACATTACTTTGGGACCGACAGCATTGCTGGCCCTCATGACTTATCAACAAATACAGGGTAGAAACCCTGACTATGCTGTATTACTCTGCTTTTTGTCTGGTGTAGTACAACTCGGAATGGGGTTATTACATTTAGGTAAGTGGAGTCTTCCTTATATTGTCTCTAAATAATTTTGTCCCTACTTCCTTATTTATACTTTGATTTGTCATGTAATGATCCGGTGTGGCACGTGCTGCTCGTTCATTAATTAGGATTTTCTCCCTAATCATTTTCAGTTTGACTGTAGGCACGATCTATGGCAGAGTTAATAATACAAAAGTGGTTATAGAATATAAATTCAGCTGGCACATTGTTATGTTTCATATCACACTAATATTTTAAATACGAGTTTCTTTGTTTGGACGTTTGTCCGTCAATCACTCTGTAACTACTGGACGGATTTTGATGAAATTTGGCATACAGGCAGATCTGGAGATTTACTTTTTATCCCGATTTAATGTTCCCATGAGATAAAACAGGAATCATATTCTACCCGGAAGAAGTCGCGGGCAACAGTAATTGTTTCATATTTTAACCGTATATATGTTTTTTTTAAGTTACGTGTAAGGTATTTCCCACATGAATTAAACTTTACTGACATTTAAATAATAAAATAATAAATGAATCTCAACAACACTGACTAGACGAAGTTCAGAAACTACCGCAATCTTTACACATAGTCTTGAGAAAGAGAGGGACTATTGGCGTTCAGTGTTATACCACGTTAAAACAGTTCTCAAAAGCAGTTCAGAATGAAAACACACCGACATGTTTTCAACTTCTTTTCTAGCATTTGACGTATTTGCAAACAAAAGTGCATTGTGCCCGTCGAAGACACGATACTAACTTGGCATAATGTTCTACTGTGCATTTAATTATATCCTGTACTGAGCAAGGCCGACGCGCAATACAAGTGAGAGTAAACATTTATAGTTGAATAATTGTATTAATTTAATGATCGACTTACCTACACTTGAACTACACGTCCAAAAATAATCCGTATTTAGGACGACATAAGGATAAAACTTATATCTGCTGAAAATAGTGTATTGTCAATGTGTTATTTACGGCTATGAGTACAGGGTTTATGTAAGCCGACTCTATAATAATTTTCCCTTTGTTATCTCTAAATTGAAGTTCGCCACCTCTATCCACAAAGGCATACGTAATAGTTACATTTACAATGCGCCCTCTATTATCATCAGCTAGTTCATAACTAGTGTATACTTTAGTTTGTGTGCTTATCTCGGTATCATTATCCAATTTCAATTCAGGAGCGGGTATGGGTTCTGTTTCATTATTCACTGCCTCTCGCTTAATTTGATCTCCTCTTCCCAACTAGAAACCTTCCTCGAATTGTAGTTAAGTTCAGTGGAATTGGCTTCATTTGTTCTTTGATATTTATTTAATAATATCGAGGTTAAGGGTTCATAGGTATTATGTTTTATGATTACTTGTTTATTGATGTTGAAATTGATATTCAAGATACTTGAAACATAATTTGCTTCAATTAGTTTTGTAACCGGTTTAAACTGGAATGTTTATATTTTACTTTCTCGTTAAAATTACCCTTGACCGACGAGCATGCATGATAAGATTGATGACTGTTGATGAAGCGAAAGAGGTTTGTAAGAATCGTAGCATTTGGCATTCCGTAATCTCTGCCTACACCGTGTATGGGAGACAAACATGAGGTTATGTATGTACTTTCTCGTTGTCAAATGGCTGTAAGTGTGCCTATGTGTGTGAAATCTCGTGTGTAATCGTGGTTAGGTCGGATGTTTTAGATAAAATAGTTTTATAAAACAAATACTTGTCAGATCGGTGTAAACACACCGGTGTTACAATTTGAAATGAGTTATTTTATAATTTACTGTCTTCTGCCAGTGTCTTCGCCCGCTACACCGTGGGATAAAAAGTTGTCTATGTGCTATTCCCGACCATAATATACCGCCGCGCGCCGTTCCAAATTTTATCCCAATCCCTTCAGCCGTGACAAGAGACCGAGATATAAAGCAGTAACAAACGTAAAAACTTTCGAATTTATAATATTAGAAGGATTACTAGGATAGTAAGAAGTATGATAATAAAATAGGGTTAAAGATATGGTCATGAAAAAATTGATGAAAGTACATGAAGCGATGTACATAGATATGTCAGAATCGTATCATTTGGCGATCTACCTATTTTCATTGCGTACCCCAAAGATTAAAAAAAAAATACGTTGCCCCGCACTAACATTTCTCCTATATCGTGGGTACGTTTACAAACATACAAGTTCACATACACATGCCACCCAGACCCGGAAGAACAATTTGTGGATCACACAAAGAGTTGTTCCGTGCGAGAATCGAACCCGCGGCACGTTGCACGGCAGCTAGTTGCCTAGCTACCACGCCAACCGTGCAGTCAAAATGTGAGACAGGCAGGACGATATGCATTTGTTTTTTTATTATTGTTATTTATCCGTTTATCCTTCTGTACAGGTGTTTTAATAGACTTCATATCAGTACCAGTCACGGTTGGGTTCACCTCAGCTACATCTGTGATTATCGCCGTTTCACAACTGAAGGGCCTTCTAGGACTTCAATTCAAATCTGGCGGATTCTTAGACACTGTTAAAAAGGTATATTGTAATAATATAATTATTTATACATTAAATATCAGTCCCTTCTACCTCTATAATGATTTTTTAGTAATACATAGTTGGATGCATACTCCATTCTGTTTTAAACCTTCTTGGTTCTGTCATAAAGTTTAAATTGATTGAAGATATTTGACAGTTTATTTTGGTTTATGTTTTGTTTAATAAATTATATTGCACGAACACATCCATATTTACCTGTTTTTAATATACAGTCATCAGCAAGCCCTAGAGCCTATCCAATGTATAATTTTTTCATTTGGTTTTCGACCTTATATCGAAACTATAAAGTAGATAATCGAATAAAGAATTTAGACAGAAAGGGGTGTGTACAACAATTACAATTTGTTGCAGGTCATAACCAATATACCGAATGCAAGATTAGCAGACAGTACTTTAGGAATATCCTGTATAGTGCTACTTTTACTAATGCGAGTAAGTATCATAATTTATTAATTTTTCACCTACTCTTTAAGAATTCATCATCATCAGCCTGTATTCGTCCACTGCTGGACATAGACACTGCTCTCCAATGGCACGCCACTGAGTTTGGTCTTCAGCTCTTCTCATCCAACCACTGCCAGCCACCTTGCGGATGTCGTCACTCCACCTAGCTGGAGGGCGCCCTACACTGCGTTTGCCTAGACGCGGTCTCCACTCTAGAACACGTTTACCCCAACGGTTATCGGTTCTTCGACAAATGTGACCTCTAAGAATTACCGATAGATATAATAAGAGCAGAGAAGTTTGGTAGAATTACCCTTTAAAATCTGTTCTAATATGGCCTTGTAAAACATAACATAACATCACGCCTTTTTATCCCCGAAGGGGTAGGCAGAGGTGCACATTACGGCACTTAATGCCACTGTACAAGGTAACACCCACTTTTCACTATTTATGTTACGAGTCCCATGTAATAGGGGGTGGCCTTGTAAAAATAGGTAGGTTTTAGATAACCAACAACACATATGGTATTTCATCGGTTTAAAACGTATGTATCCAATATAGATTTGTAATTTTCTTGTTCTGGAGATATTACATCTCGATCCATAAACGGCTTCTTTACAATTATGGAAAAATGTAAATAATAATTTACATTTAACGATATGTTAAAAAATGGAAATAATTTTCACTTTTCCTCAACTTATTAAATAGGTATACAAACAAAAGTATTTCAAAATTTAAATAATAATAAGTAATTGCACGGGTTACTCGTAGTCAATACCTCTTATTTAAGCGGTATATATATCAATACAGTTTCTGCTACACAAATAGGTAGGAAGATATATTAATAATGCATTAATTAAAAAGTAAACACAATAAACGCTGTGTCCATATGTTTCGAAACGAATGTTTGCTATCAATTTGATCCGGTGCTGATATTACAAATAGTAAATTTTTGTTCAACACATCTGCTGTTGTGTTTGCAATCGATGTTTTGTGTTCGTATTCCTTTGTGAACTACAATGCCACTTAATTTGATGTCAGAACATCGGCTTGTTGTTCCATCCGTCAGGAAACGTGATGTTCCTCAACAATATGACATATAAGTTCACGTTTTGCGAGATAAACACATGAAAGGGTGATTATTCTATTCGCAATAATACAAAGATGTTCAATAAGAACAATGGGAGCAGCACATAGACTGATATTGAATGTTAATGACTGAGACATGTGTATTTTAAAAAATGATGACCTCGCAATGACTTTCATCATGTTACTTTACTTGTTCAAGTGTGTGCTTTGAAGGTATTCAATATTTTTTAAGTGTTGTGTGCTCATTATGCTAATTTGGTACAACTTTCGTTAACTGTTCACGGTTTATCACGTTTACGTCTTTTGTTTTAGTTTCATGCAAATATTGCAGTTGTTCATTGTTTTTTTTTTTATTATAAACTCGGGTAAAACTATGTATTTTAAATGGATGTTTGAAGTTTTATTGTTGGCATTAATGTTTTTTAGCAAGTAAAGTTATCTTTGTCATCGTGCTCATATTTAAATTAGTTCAGTTTATCGTTCATTATATTAGGTAATGTAAATTATCGTGAAACATACAGAATTAACTAAAAATTACGAGTTCTACTAGTTTCGAGTCACAAAGGGACTCTTCCTCATGAGCAGCGTGCGCGGACGTGGCGATGTCGCACAGCCTATTCTGGTAGGCTGCGCTATATCCCTAAGAGTCCCTCTGTGACTTGAAACTAGTAGAGCTTTTCTCAGTACCCACATTTCCGTGAGTAGCTTGGAATTTTTTTTTACGTTAAGTAAATATCATTATGTTACGTTAAGTAAATATCAATATCTTGACATAACATAATGATATTTACTTAAATGCAATTACATAATGTCACCTACATCATGTCTTATTATATCCTGTAGATAAAACTCTTGTATACCTATACAGAGTAGTGTGTGTCATTACCGACTAAAAGGGGTGCTGAAAAACTCCCAAGAAATTATAAAAATAAGTAGGTAATTCAGACAATAGTGACTCAAAAAATAATATTTGGGTATTCCTTTATTATACCTCGTTGGCCGAGTGGTCGCAAATGTGACTGCCGGTAAGGGGTCTCGGGTTTGATTCCCGGCTCAGACAAACTATTACTGGGTATTCAAAAAAAATCTCAGCTTGGTCGCTGGAAATGTACCCGGTATTTGGCAATAGGTGCACCCCCTATTACATGGGACTCATAACATAAAACAGTGAAAAGTGGGTGTTACATTGTACAGTGGCATAAAGTGCCGTAATGTGCACCTGCACCTCTGTCTAAAAGGCGTGAAGTTATGTGTTCCTTTATAATATCAACTTAACTAAGTTTTATTTACTTTGGATTCTAGTACTTTAAAAGAACATTTGCGTAGGTATCAACTCCTATAAAACATTTTTAATGTAAAGTTTTATTTCAGAAAATGAAAGACGTCAAGCTGCCAGCCAGTCAAAAAGGTTTAAAGAAAACTCTTTGGTTGCTCTCGACCTCAAGAAACGCGATCGTGGTAGTAGGTTGTTCCGTAGCTGCGTTTTTATTTGAGACATATTCCACTCAGCCGTTTAAATTAACTGGAACTGTCAAGTAAGTATCCTTGATTGTCATAATAATGAAAAAAAGGTAATGAAATATAGCGCTAAGTTTTTCTAGCCCATCGCAATGTTTCCTGGTGTTATTGTCTCGTTTAAATTGGGTTTTTTTATAAATGAGCTTTATAGTTCATTAATTAATTGGTAAATGTAGATATACCCTTGACAAAGTGATCTTACTTTTTATTCTGTGGTTAGGTAAAGTTTTATTGAGTACTAGCTTTTACCCGCGGCTTTGCTCGCTTCACAAAAGGATAAAAAGTAGCCTAGGTATCTATACCAATGATTTCGTTTTCACTCGAGAATATCAAATTTTTCCGGGATAAAAAGTACCCTATTATTTAATCCAGACTTCTAACTTTATGTCTGCAAAAATTTAAAGCAATCGGTTTAGTAGTTATGGCGTGAAAGCGGAACAAACAAACAAACAAACAAACTCACTTTCCGATTTATAATATTATACTAAGGATATTAGTAAGGATTTTTCGGTTAAAAATTTTCAATGATAGCACAATGAGTTAGGGCAATAGTCTCACCCCCCGCTATATGGGACTCCTAATATAACTAGTGAAAATTAGGCGCTGTATTGTGGAGATGTATCTCTGACTAACTATCTTATGAAAATAATAAATGGCGATTAAAAACAACAAAAATAAAGTATACTTATATACGAAGTGTATGCGTAAAAACAAACACGCGAATATTAATCATGAAATAACAAAGGCTTGCTACTATAAGTAGCTACGATACATTTCCTTATTGAATGGTTTGTCCTTCAAATTGACCGACATATTTGATTTACTGAGGCTATTGATGCTAATATTAATAGTTACTGTTTTATTTTATTATTGGTACAAGAATTTATTTTTACGAATATGAATGGCAAAGTTACTAAAAAATATAAAATATCGCGAAGGTTGCATGTCGCAGGAGTTGTATTTTTAAATTAATGGTAGGTATATCTATATCTCTAATCGTACAAACTAGTTTAATCACCGAAATGTATAACCTAAAACTCCAAAATGACAAAATCAATCACCAAAATGTCGGAAACGCACTTGTAATTAATTGGTGTGCGAGTATCGGCACTACCATAAAATAAAGTTCATGAAACAAAAATTTTTTCTTTTCTTTTTCGTTTTATTGAATAGTTTAGTTTATTTATGTAGTTATACATATTTAATAATAGGCATTTATTTATTATTTTGTGTTACTTGGTTGTAAATATTTATTGGGAGACAATATTAATTTTTAAAAAGTATATAACCGACAATTAAGTTTTGCCTTAATAAAAAAAATAGTTGTAATAGAAACCTTAGAAAACTTGGATCGGTCAAGAAATTTACTAACATTGGTTATTAATTACAGCCTTTAGGGAGTGTATCTCACACTCCCTAAAGAGCTTTCTCCCCAAATAACAAGGCGTCTTTTAATTTAACCACTGGACTGCCGTTTATGAGACACATTAGAAAATATATTGTCTTTCACGTGAATCCTCGTTCGAACACAACAATAGTTTTGCCTTTCATAAAGAAAAAACATTTGAAATAACAGGTACTATTGTCTTCTTACAGAGATGGTCTCCCTTCGCTGAGTTGGCCTCCGTTCTCCACAGCCGTGAATGGCAGATACGTAGGCTTCATAGAAATGTGCTCAGACCTCGGCTCCTCGATATTCATAGTTCCTGTTATCGCTGTGTTAGGCAATGTGGCTATTGCTAAAGCTTTTGGTAAGTAAGGTTAAAATGTAAACTTTCTTTTTAAACGGTTTTATTGAACTTGCCTACTTTGTTTATTTGGTTCAATTTAAGAATTGGAATTTTGCCCTCTGCCTGACGACAGGTCAAAATCTGGTATTTGGTACATTCTCAATCTTGATGATGATAATCAGGCAATATAGGTAATACCTACATCCTCTATGATTGTAAATCGAAGATGACCGCCGATACATATTTTTTCCACAACTACCTACATAATATGGATATCAAATGAAAAGGCTTTTTTTTAAAGGGGGAAATCATTAATGACTTCTCCCTCCCGGTTGAGGCAGGAGGGAGTGTCAGAATCTTACTGACTAAAAATCACCCTGTTCCTACTCCTGCATTTCGAGCCGGAGCCTCGGTAACCCGTATAGTTCTTCCGTATCGGCATCAGCCCTATTGGGAAAGGGCTAGATTACACTAGTTTACACGGTTTTCTTACCCCAGCTGAAAGTTGTTATTTTATTTTGTGTTCAGGTAGAACTATCCAGAAAAAATAATAAAAAAATTCTGTCACGTCTAGTTTGAAAAATATTTATTTTCTTGAAGGAAATATGAATTCTCTCCATAGCATTGGCGAACCAAATGGAAGGTAAACTTTTTCTCCTAATGACCACTGGATAAGATGATTCTGCAGCTTTCACAAAACATGTGAGGCATTTTATCTTAATTTGCAACAGGAAATCCAAAATAATGAAGATATGCAGTTTTTAACGAATCTACAATAGGTCTTCTCTTTTTTGAAAACATAAACTGTCCACAAACATAACAAAAACGGTCAGAACTTTGTTTGCACTTTCTGCTAGCCATTTTAAATCAATCCAAAGCAAAGTAACTGGCGTTTGAAGCGAACGAATAAACAATAAAACATCACCACCACGTCGGGTAGTTAAAAAAACAATTGACGCCAGAAAAAAATTCCGACGTGATAAAATATTTCTGCTAACACTTTTAGGTTTAGGGAAGGTAGATTAACATATTGACATACATTCGGTTCGGGGTATAAATAAAAAGTAAAATTTTGTAAACTAGTGTTATTAGAATAAAGCTCATTAAAACCTTTTATCTTTTATTTTATTTAAGTAGGTATACTTGTTCTCTCTCTGTTCTCTGAGGAAGCAAGCAGAGTCGTAGTAACACATCAAATGCTGCATCAGTTCTTAGTAATCGGTTACCGCGGGATTTGGCGGGACTTGCGTTTAACAATTTGTTCCTATCGGCGGCAGTCAAAGACTAATCAATTTTTGCCGTCTATTATCATAGGAATGGGATTTTATGATATTAACCGCTCGAAAATCTATTCGAAACCGCCTATTCGGTTGTTGAACTTATGGCAAAGCGAGTTACGAACGAGGCTTTAATTCTATGGCCATAGGATGCAGATTACTATAACATCAAGCGTTTTTATTATCCTCGTGTCGGTATACTTCAATTCAGTTTCCAAACGATTTAATTGTCACTTTATTAATAAAAAAATAGAATTCACATTTGCATATCGCTGGTCAATTAAATTAATAAAGGTACAGAATTTCAAGTACGTCTTAGTCGGTAGATTATTATATCATTGGTTATAACGGGATGACGTCATGAATTTCACCAATTGGCCCGTTAACCACGACTATCGAAGTCAGTCAAGTGAAACAGTTTAATTAATAGTATTTGTAATTAATTGTTTATTACACTTTGAGTAGGTGCTCGAACTGTATGATAACTTTTTTGTTTGTTTTGGTACAAGTCACATGCAGTTTTAGTGCCTAAAAATGGCGGTTTTGTTCAGTCAAAAACACTAAAAGAAGCGATTAAATAGATTTTTATTATTAAAAGCGGTTTTACGACTAGTAGATCTGATATTTCGTACATACTGTTAGTTTTGATAACTATACAAGAATCATAATCGATATTTTCCGCAAGTACCTCCATTATGTATTGTATTGTGAACCTGATTGAAAAAGAGTAACCTATGGAGTTTCTTGCTCGTTCTTCTCCATTAGAATTTACACCTTGGAATGAGCAAATAGCTTCACTTTTAATTTTAAAGTCAAATGATTTTGACTTTGATTTTGACTATGGATGTCGAACGTTAACGTCGAACGTTGTAATTGGATGCTTCCTATTCCTAATATATATAAATAATTTACCAACATATATCCACGATCCATGTGTCCTATTTGCTGACGACGTGTCTATATTGACTTCTTGTGAAACAAACACCAATATAAGCGAAAAACTAGGCTTCATTCTTAACATTACTACGAAGTGGATGGCAGAACACAACTTAGAAATAAACCTCAGCAAAACTAAATTAATTGCATTCCACCCTCATCAGAAATCTTCTATTAACATTAATTTTACCTATAACAATTCACAATTAGAAGTCGTTAATAATTTTACCCTACTCGGCATAGATATAGACACGAACATAAATTGGAAAAGTCATGTACAAAAAGTGAAGGCAAAAATATCAAAGTACTCATACGCACTCCGAGAAATAAAAAAGACCACCGATTTAAAAACCGCACTCGTCACCTACTACGCTTACGCTTATGCGTGGCTTAAATATGGTATAATATTATGGGGAAATAGTACAGACTCCCAAACGCTATTCACTCTCCAAAAAAAGTTAATAAGAATTTTAATAAATATCACAGAAACAAACAGTTGCAAACCTCACTTTCAGGAACAAAAAATACTCACCTTACCTTGTATTTATATTTATGAAATGTGCAAATTTGTTCGTAAGTATCCTGAATTCTATTCCACTAGAGAACACACACAATGTAAATTCACACTGAGACATAGAAAAAGACTAAATCTACCAACATCACGATTGAAAATACACTCTTCCGGACCTCTGGTCATGTCAATAAAAATTTACAATAAGTTACCCCAAGAAATAAAAAATGAAGATAAATACAATAGATTTATGATGAAATTAAAACAGTTTCTACTAAATAAGGCCTATTACAGTATTGAAGAGTATTTTAAAGAAAGATTATAACAAACATATATTTATAGGAGCACACTAGTAGTGTATAATACAGTACTGTGTCTACAGATCACAAGTACACAAGGTTAAAGGTACAAATGATTATTTAGTTAATTTAGATGATTTAATTTTTGATGCTCATTAAATTCATCGAAAATGTAAATTTTGACTACTGTCATTTTGAGTTGACATATTATTTTGTGTACATAATTTGTTTTGATCGATTCAATTTGATTTTGATTATTTTGAGTTTATTTTGATTGTTTTAATCTAATTTTGATTGTTTGAGTTGAATTTGATTGTTTTAATTTGATTTTATATTAATTTGATTTTGATTATTTTGATTTGATTTTAATTATTTGACCTAACAATAATTTTATTTACTTACATATTTTATTTTGATTTTAATATTTTTTATGACCTCTATTATTTTATTTCCTATTGTAACTATTTCATTTTGACTTTTAATTATTTAATTAACTTAAACTCGATAATATGTTACATTTTAATATTAGATATTTGATGATAAATGTCAACTTTATTTAAAAACAAAAATGTTATTTTAAAAAAATGTTAACTTCATTTATCAAATGTTGCTTGTGCCCTTACGGGGTCCATAAATGTATCTTAGCTTTAAGCGTATATTGTAACACCTTATTCACATTATGGTATGCAAATAAATGAATATGAATATATGAATATGAACGTTAGGGTTTGATTGATAGAATGGAACTAATTAAAACCGTTAACCATGAAACATGTTTTCTATGAACGTATTACTTGTTTAAAACTTATAATTAACATTTTATGATAATAGCCTGCATCGACATCGAATTAGCAATAATAAATAGTCATCATTTGTAATCAATGACGCCGTAAAGCAATTTTAATAAATATAAAATTTAATTGTTTGCGTAACACAGCTATAAACAGAGTTCTATGATACGAATATTATACGTAATTCTTATTTTATAGGTAAGGGATTGTGGTTTATTATGATAAGTTACCTTGACATTTTTAAAAGTTTAAACTGTTAAACTTAATCTTTGCCAACTTGTGATGCAAATGTGTAAAAAAATCAAGTTGACGTGCGATATTTTTTTTTACTTTGGTTTAAAACGAGGTGTTACATTTAGTACATAGTATGACGTGGAAACCTGTACCAAGATATATTAAATGCATGAATCCGCGAGTTGTACGTAGTGGGTAATTTACTAGTTGAGATTGTAATCTTCGTTCCTGCTTCCAGACGTTTGAGTCTTTTTGGTTAATGGAAAATCCATTGCGTATTGTCGTAGCATCAAAACAGACAAATATCTAAAAATATAACTATTCACACTTATACCGATGCTGGTGTTTTTAGTCTTCGAGTCCTTTTTTATACTATAGGTTGACGCTTGCCCACCATCTCGCCTGTCACAAATAGTGACAATCCCCCTTCACCAATGTCTCTAATCCCTGAATCTCCAACAATCCACAAATAAACTAAAAATCGCGGGTTAATTAACTAAAAATTGAAGATATTTATTATAACTATCGTGAGACATACTAAAGTAACTAAAAATCGCGGGATACTCACGTGAATATACTAAGAAAAGCCCTACTCGTAGGCTGCGCGACATCGCCGCGACCGCGCACGCTGCTCATGAGGAAAAACCCCTCTGTGGTTGAAAACCAGTAAAGATTATCTTTAATTTTACCGCAATTTTTAGTTAATTATGTCTCACGATAGATATTATAAAAATCCTAATTCTTAATCCCCAAAAGACCGGTAGCGCACTTGTAATGCCTCTGGTGTTCCAGGTGTCCAAGAGCAACGCGCATTCCTTACCATCAGGTGATCTGTCAGGTCATTTACCGGCTTATCCCATAAAAAAAAAATAAACGAATATCCAGATTGTAATGGAAGTGACATACTATTGGATATATTATGATTTATGACACACAGCACTTTTTCCACTAGATATTAACCGGTCTTTGTGTGTTTTTCGTGTTATTATAATTTTCAAAATTTAAGAATATTTTTTATTGTTTCAGCGAGTGGCGAGTCAGTAGACGCGACGCAGGAGTTGATAACGCTGTCATTAGCGAACATTTTCGGTTCATTCGCCGGTGCCATGCCGATCACTGGGTCGTTCTCTAGGAGTGCTGTGAACCATGCCAGTGGAGTGGCCACGCAGTTTGGTAGCATTTATACAGGTGAATTATGTTCCTTTTTTTTTTGAAGAAAAAAAAAGAGACATTCCTATACCTAACAAGAATGTCTCTTAATGAGCTAATAAAGTTCATAGTTTCAACGTAAAGCCATGCAAAGGATCTTATTGTGTGAGTTTGTCGCAGTCATCTGTATAGTGTACAATGATAATGACATTTTTATTGATGTGGTTGTGGGTAATATTTAAATATTAGCCATTGTTTTTCAACGTGCCTACATAACCTACTGACCCATAAAATTAGAATCTTAAAACAATAAACAGTAGATACAAAACCGCTAATCTCAATACAATAACATGATTAACTCAAGTCACGTCATGTCGAACACTTTCAAATGACTCCCATTACATATTCGACACGCGTACAGAGGCACGTCAAGTTAACCGTCATCTGTCATAAGACTTTCAACTTTATTGTCGTAGTGTAATAAGGTTGACAATCGGTTGAGTAACTTTAAAGTTTGGGTATAACTTGATATGATGGTAATTGTAGATAAAGGCTTTTAAGTTTTCTTTAAAGGTCAAAGTATATACAGAATTAAAGAGAATTGATCAAAATGTTTACTTATTACTATCCATTGCTACTCTTCCATAATATATCTATTTTTCATATTTAGTAGATATATGCTCGATTGCTTCAATAAACCATTGAGATATATGCAACGCTCTTGTTTAACATGTGACGCTGTCTATTTCATTATTACAAAGAGACCGTATTAGAGCATTTCTAGACTAAGGAGGTTTTTGTTATCTACAAGCTGCTTGCTGCTGCTTGGTAAGCGACCTGTAGATCGCAGTTTAAAAGCTTCAAAGGGTCTAATGCGAGATTTTTATCAACACCCATTTATCCCCGAGCGGTCACCGGTAACCGGTCTTCACTAACTATATTATAGACCTTATTTCCGATGTTTAGAGACTACTTTTGTATGAACAAATATAGGGGATAATATTTCAACTCAAAGCGTTTCCGCGTTCAGTTCTCTGATTGGTTAGTTAGTTGGACCTAGCCAATCAGAGCGCCGAACGTCATAAATGTATCGATACATACTCTCTTTTAAATATGTAGTCCCTTAGGTTGTTCTTGTAATGAATTATCAATATTCTAGTCTCCTAAATTAACTAAAAATCGCGGGTTACTCACGTGAATATACTGAGAAAAGCTTTAGTTTCGAACAACAGAAAACAAACCGCGCACGAAGAGACTGAGGGATCTCTGTGGTTCGAAACTAGTAGAGATTTTCTCAATATATTCACGTGAATAATCCGCGATTTTTAGTTAATTTAGTATGTTTCACGATACAATAAAAACATTTTAATCTCTTCACATTTTTATAGAATTTAATTTTTATGCTTAAATTTTTTTATTTTCCAGGTGTACTGGTGTTACTGGCACTCAGTCTTCTGACTCCGTACTTCTATTTTATCCCGAAGGCGGCGCTGGCGTCCGTAGTGATATGTGCTGTGATATTTATGATAGAATATGAGGTATGTTACCAATATTGGATGACCATACAGTATTAACTTATCCTGAGTTTGACAGAACTGCCATAACATGTCTTTTTTTTGTCACAGAGCAGAAGTAATAATATTACAAACACCCTTGTATTTCATCACAATCAGTCGTCCCCTAATTTTCTTCCTCAAATAATAAATATACCAAAAATCTTCTTACTTTACCAATCGATGTCTTATTATTTCCACAGATAACAACCATAAATTGTACAAAAAGTTTAGCGCTATTTTCTCTTTAAAACTATAACTGTAATTTGAACTTTAGTACTTAGTAAATAAGTTTTAAATTCAGTCATCAACAGCCTATTGTAATCTTTTTCATTCTAAAAATCTTACATTTGGATACTTGATAACTAGATTAATTAGTTACTCATTTTGTATGTTCCAGGTTGTAAAACCAATGTGGCGGTCTCGTCGCGCGGACTTGTTGCCTGCGTTCGCAACGTTCGCGCTGTGTCTGTCGGTGGGCGTCGAGCTCGGCATCCTGGCCGGCGTCGCCGTCAATGTCATACTACTGCTGTACCCCAGTGCCAGGCCACAGCTTGAAGCTGAAATTATTACGGTGAAATATTATTTTATAGTTTCGTATTAAAATATAGAAATTACGATATTTTTGGTTGGGGATGAAGATTCTACGTTATGTATCGTTTTACATTTATTAGTTTGATGAATCAAAGTGTCAGCCTCGTTGGCGGAGTGGTCGCAAGTGCGACTGCCGGGCACGGGGTCTCGGATTCGATTCCCGGGTCAGGCAAAGCAATACTGGGTTTTAAAAAAATTCTCAGTAACAGCATGGAGTCTGGAAGTGTGCCCGGTACAAGGCAATAGGCACACCCCTTATTACATGGAACTCATAAAATAAATAGTGAAAAGTGGATGTTACATTGTACAGTGGCATAATGTACACCTCTGCTTACCCCTTTGGGGATAAAAGGCATGATGTTATGTTATATTTTTAAAAATGACTTAATGCCTACTACATCGCGGCTATACCTATAAATAACATTTCGAGTCAACTTATACCATGCACGAGTTCATGACAATGTTAACTAAGACAACTTTATTTAAAAAATTAATCCTACGCTCATAAAAACAAGGTTTAACTCCCATTATTCTGATGTCTGACCATTTATTCCAGAACGCATCGGGCTTCAGTTACGTTTTAGTAACTGTAGGCAACAGTCTGTACTTCCCTGGCGTGGAGTACATCAGACAGTATGTAGAGAGAGCTGCTAAGAAGCAAGGCGGGTGTAGCATGCCCGTTGTCATTGATTGCCGATATGTGTTAGGTAAGTGTGGTAATGTGAAAGATTCTAGAAATTGGTGATTTAACCTTCAAGTACTGACGTGGTTTACTCATACCATAAACGGTGACGTGACGTATGTCAAACACCTTAATAATTAATCGAAATGGATTACTTGTATTTACTGATTTGCACAATATTTACTTGTATTCTGATCGGTCCATTATAATTCTATTAAGGAAGTGCAAAAAATACAACGTTCTCGGATGAAATCAGCGGTTTCTGATTCAAATTCTATAAACTTAAAATATAAATATTTCGCATAACTTAAAAAAATATATGTTAAAATCTTAGCTACAATACAATTATTTGGACGTTTTTTTGGAAAATTCTTATATTCGTGAACACGCCGTCTATGAGACACCCACGTCAGTAGTTAAAGGTTAATGTCACGTTTGTTTTATATATTATTAGCGTTTATTTCGTCTAATTAGTATTTAAATTACTATGTAGTTCATTACTCAATGGTGTCTTAATACTTGCTCTTTATTACAGAAGCCACACTTTGTTTTTATCGTATTGTAACGTCAGACAAATATCAAAAGCAAGAAAAACATGATGAAACTAAAATAATTTTATTTTAGGTACTTGAAATCACGGCTCTAGTCTCTTTAAATATTAATTTTCAACTCACTCCCGTTCACTCAAATATACACCTAAACATCTCAATATAAACTTCAATTCATCACTTCTAGGCGCAGACTTCACAGCGGCCAAGGGTATGTGCGCGCTGTCGAGGTCGCTGGCTGCGCGCGGGCAGCCGCTGGTGCTGCTGTCGCCGCGCGCCTGCGTCGCCGCCGTCTTCAGCGGCGCCGGGGGCAATGTCGTCGTTGTACTCACTCATGCTGAACTGGACTCCACTCTACATAGTATGTAGTTTTTTCATATAAAATTTTAGACATAGTTCTCGAACAGACTAGATGTGTCTATTTGCATTATGTTTCAAAGCAGAACTTTATGCAATTATGCTGCTGTATACTTAGGGATTATGACTGCTAACGGCGTAGACATAAGTTACAAAATCGCCTCTAGAGATTTACGCTATCTAATAAATAGTTTTGATGTAAAAAATCTTGCTCTTCTCCGTATATCGAAATGCTCACTACACAAAATTATATATTAACGAAAGTACTGCACTTAAATGTGCTAAAAAAGATGAGCAAATCTTAATAATTTAAAAATGGTTTGGAACAAAAGTAATAATTTTCTACTTTCTCCACAGGTCTTACAGGTCAAATACCATTACAACTAACCAGCAAAGAACACACACCGCCTCCAAACTACGACTCGCTAAAACAGTCAGACGATGACGTCACAGAAGTAGTCATCATTGACGATCAGAACAGTACGCCACTATTGTGCAAGAACGGTACAGCACTATCTCATACCAACGGGGGCAATGATACGTGACGGTATTAATCTTTAATTAGTTTTATTCTAATAGTAAAGTGTAGCTGATTTTTAATGGTTTTAGATTTTGAAATCGATTGTTTTTATGATGATAATTAGACCAATTTCAAATTAGTTCTTATGTATGTTTGAGTTTCGGATTAGCTTGAACGGTTTCGAATAAAATCGGAGCTCATAAAATTGTGGTAATCAATATAATATCCTGATATTAATGATTTCTTATTACCAGTGATAGTCTAAAACCATTAATTAAAGTATCAGCTAGCTAGTAGATATTTGTGTAGATATACGTACAAGTTCGACAGTGTCCTTCGCGTAGATAGTTCCTAAAGTATGTTTATGTGAGTAAAGTACTTAATTATATTTGGTTAGTGTTGAAATTTCTAATTAAAGTGCTTGTAGTAAACCATAGTTATTTTTACCTATGAAAAACGGCAATTTTATAGGAAGAGACCTATTAATAAGAACCCCTCTTTTACTTTCCTCGTTTATGTATGTAACTGTGTATGAATGTCACCAACCGTCCTATATTGTCTGTATACCCCTAATAATGACTTTCAATCTTAAAATTTTACCAAATTTGTTCTAGCGTTTAATATTAATTTAAAAAAAGAATTTAATACGTAACTTGTGAGACTATGCAACAAGTGAGCTTCTGATAATGCATTAGTGCTAGAACTTAATATAAAAATTAAGAAAATCGTTCCTATTTAAAACCATCATGACTTCCATTACATTAAATATCCCCTTTCAACATTCCGCTTATAAATGTATTTGAAAGTCTGATCTTCATCTTCCATTAAGTATTCGAATCGAAGTTTAAATATTTTCCAACTCAATTCCTATTTCCCATATCCAATAAAGTTTGACTGATACTGTTGCTTAGGGTGCGTCAAAATCTAACCGATATACCGCTACCAAGTACATACGAAGTGCACTTTTGCATTGTTCATGTTCACAGAGCTTGAGAGGGAGTGGGTTAAGTTAATACTTCCTCTAGGTAGCATATTTGTGTTCACCGAATAGTAGTGTGATGTTTTGTTTGTCCAATAGTAAATTTCCTAATGTCAATCCATTGACAAATTACGTGATTGGACAAAGAGAACCACGCGTTACATAACCGTTTGAGCAAAATCACTGTAACCATTATTGGAATATCAACCTTATTGTAAACACTTACTGTTTTGTTCTCGGCCTCCCTTACCTCTGCATTTGTAAGTTGCAGCTCCGCGGCTCTCAGACAAACTTATAACAACTATTTTCCTAAATAATTTATTGACTATTGTCGACCTTGTACAGAATAATGAATAAATTAGAGTAATAAAGTAGATTAAATTAATTATACATTTGCAATTAATTTTTCCTGGCGTTCAACGCTGTATTTTGTGTGACTGTCAAGTATCTCGAAATCGAAGTACTTTAAATCAATAAAATACATAATAATCAAATAGTATGCCTAGAATGAATATATCGGTGTTAGATTTGATGTGAACTTTAGTGGTACCAGATCATTTTTCAAATATTTGCCTCAAAATCTTATAATTCTGATAGTTAATTATTACGTTTCTGGCTTACTCACGTGACTGATTGACAAGGAACTTGACTAGTTTCAAGCCATGCTAGAGGCTCATATTCATGTGCAGCATTCCGCGATATGAGAAGCAGCGACTGTACAGTTACGTGAGTAAAGCTAAAATATAATAATGAATTTAGTAAGTGTCACGAAAGGATTAATATAATTCTGATAATCTATAGATATTATCTTGATACGAATTAGTACGAATTATGTATCCGTATCAATTTTACGGGGCCCCGTAAACTAAAGCATGCGTTCAAAGGTTGGCAGAAACTTAAGAAAAATAAAAGTAATTAAGGTCCGCTTATTAGGGTAGAGGAAGTTGCCTGAAAATATTTTCGGTTTTCACACAAATTATAAGTACCTCTATTTTATGTAAATATCTCTTTTGAGAAATTTTTACCCTTCAAGAGCTCGTAAACAAATTTTTATATGGGGCCCCCAATGCACGCTACGCCACTGTGTATCAGTTAAGTGTGATAATATAATGTAGTGAGGGTGTGCAATTTTATCCACTTTTATTGTATTACATTAAAAAAATCAAATACCATAATACCAGTAAAGTAGAAATATACACATGATATAAATACCTACGTATTAGTCCTTTCTAAGTAAATAAAAAAACTAGAAGACAGCTTCTTCGACCGCCCTATCCGTTCCGACTTTGCAAGGGTGCTATTTTCCTACTTGCTTATTTTATTTAAGAACTTCCTCCAAACACAACATAAAAGGTTTACTTAAATCTGTCCACTCATTTTCGAGTTTTGCATCTATGATTTACATTTCATGAATAGAATAATGAACAAATGATCCTAACATATACACTGTGAAAATTATTTCGTTTTCGTCCCACGACAAAACCTACTGTGGCACATCTCTGCATCACCCCATGGTTGACTGTTAGAGAATGCCACCCGGCATTAAGTCCGCTATGTTATAATATACAGAAGTGTAAATAAAAAAAATAACTTTCGATATGTAAAGCAAAAACAAACAAATGCAGATGTTTTTTTTAGTTTCTTAAAATTTTTCATGAAAATACGAACACTAAACGTAAATTTGTAGCCAGTATTCATATCGAAAGTGTCTCACGAAGAGAAATACCTTTTCCAAAATGACATGGCGTGATGTTTCGATAATGTACTATGAGTTCGTATGCGATTTCGAAGTTTGCTTTTTGCAATGGTTCACCAGTTATTTTCAACATTTTATTTCCTTTTAAACTCTAGTATAAATAAGAAAGAACCATTTTACTTCGATACGAAAACGAAATAGATTTTACGCTGTATAAATAACACAAAAAACATATTCTTATACTGAAGTTATGTTTGAAGTTTTGCCTTTAAAAGTTACCCTCTAATATAAATGAATGTTTTTACCCTAACAGTGAGAATTACCTTTCTAATTTATGTTAAACAACTGTTTTAATAAATAATAATGCAATGTTAATCTTAATAGTACATAAGACGTGTGTATTGTACTGAAATATAACAATATGTATATAGCTTGGTAATTTTTGTAATTGCAGTTTGAGATGGTATAAAATGGGTGACTATTTATATAATACATATATTTATGGTTTATATATAAGTACTTATAATTTTGTTTTATATTAGTTTTGATGTTAAATTGAGTTTGTGTTTATTTTTTTATTTTAATTCCCATGACATCTCGAAGGCATGAAATGAAAGTTAATAGTACCAAAGATGAGTGAGTCTAATATTACGTATATATATATATAATATTTCTCTTATATTATAAAATCAGTAGAAATCTCTAAAATGTATGTAAAACTATATATTAGTACTAGGTATAATTATAAATGTATACTTATTTATGTGTTCTTAGTAGTATACCAGTGCAAATGTATTGAACAATCTGTACACTATTTAAAAATATACAATTTTACAATTAAAGTTATGTAGTGGTTTCTTTTTTTTAATCTTGTTGGCCTAATGGCTGACCTTTGGCTAAATCGCATTCGCGACCGCTCGGTCGCGAAGGCAAGGTGTCTCGGGTTCATTTCCAGGGTCGGGCAAAGCATTATTGGGTTTTTTAAAAAAACTCAGTAGCAACACGTACCCTGGAAATGTATGTGCCCGATACTTGGCAATAGGCTCACTCCCTATTACATAGGATTCATAACATAAATAGTGATAATGTTTGAAGTCGTAGTTTCGTTTCACAGGTTGTTCCATAGTTTGACATGACTTGTTCTTTGCTCATAACAGGGTATACAAATTATAAATCTATTTAGTCCGTCAGGTAATTCAGATAATGAAAAATTGTTAGACACCTAAATAAAACGGATTTTTGTTTAGAAGTGGGAGTTCGCTACGTAACTGCTACCTTCAAAATGTGGTAACTATGACGTCACACGATATTTTAAAAGTAAGTATATCGTCGAAAGTATTTATAGCACTCTAATGATTTAAATTAATCTACCAAGCAACAATTAAATTTCAAATACTATTTAAACTGTCAAACACCAAGCGGTCACCGGTGACCGCAACTTATTGTTCTATATTCTATGTTCTAGTAGTTCTATGTTCTAATTGGTTTACCATTAATAATCTAGCACTTAATGAAAAAAAAACCAAATGTATTAAATTCAGTTTACCAAACGTGCGTAGTAACGATTGTGATATTGTTTTGAACGGTCAAAAGTTAGAATTTGTCGACGAGACAGTATTTTTAGGCATTACGTTAGACAATAGGCTACAATGGGGTCCGCATATAAAGGCGCTTTCGGGGAGATTAAGCTCAGCTGCTTTTGCAGTTAGACAGATTAGACAGCTCACGGACGTGGATACAGCTAGGCTTGTCTATTTTAGTTATTTCCACAGCATTATGTCGTACGGCATTTTGTTGTGGGGTCGAGCTGCAGAAATAGAATCAATATTTATTCTGCAAAAGCGGGCTATCCGAGCAATATATAACTTACGCCGTTGCGAATCGTTGAGAGAATTGTTTAAAACGATAAATATTTTAACGGTGCCCTGTCAATATATATATGAAAATATAATGTATGTAAGGAAAAATAGGCAATTGTTTGAAAAAAGAAGCGATAGACACAATTTTAATACTAGAGGCAAAAATAAGTTAGCTATACCGCAATTCAGACTGTCCAAAGTACAGAAATCCTTTATGGGGTTAGGTATTAAATGCTATAATAAAATACCAAATAGCATACTAGATCTCAATGAAAGTAAATTTAAAACATATATTAAGCGCGAATTATGTAATCAAGCTTACTACACACTGACAGATTATCTTGAAGATAAGAATGCTTGGCAGCATGTTGGTTCGGCTCCACTGGACAATACTCAAATGTAGTCAGTAGTTAAATTCCAATAGTAGGTAATATAATACATAATTTAATACTTTAATTCTAATGTAGACAATCTAGTTTCCTTATGGCATCGAGCATTTCTTTCTTTATTGAAACAAAGAGTTTCCTTTTTCTTGTATAGAAGCACTATTTCTATGGATTGTCAGTATGCATATGTGAGCACCATGTTGGACTTAAGATCTTTATTATTTTTATTTTTATTTTAGTAAGTTAGTAGTATAATGCGTCAAGCGTGTCTTTGCATTGTTCTTACATATGCGTACAGTATTGAAATATGTATCAGAGACATTGTAGAACATACTTTTTTAAAAGAGTAACGAATGGAGTTTCTTGCTCGTTCTTCTCCATTCGAATCTACGTTTTGGAATGAGCACCTAGCTTCACCTAGCTTCACTGACGGACTGACTGACAGACTATTATTTATTTTGTATTTGTTGACGTTTCAAAAGTACCAAACTATGGTTTAATTGAAATAAATGCTTTGACTTTGACTTTGACTTATAATTGTGTCTATAATGACGGTACTCGACGAGTTAAGGAACATCCTTATTATAGGTACAAATGACAAATAAACAAACAAAATATTTGTATGTAAAAAGTATTTATTAAATATAAATAATGTACAGCGTATAAATTATCTTTAAGATCTTAGCACCATAACGTTACAACATAGTAAATGCATTGTCTGACTATTTACTAAAAATAATGAGTATCATAAGCCTTGCGACTGAAAATATACGCTAAACATAATATACTTTGAAAAATAAATTAAAGATATTACTATCAATCAGTCAAATAAACGAACCGACAATTCAAAGGCGTATATATGATGTACTGAATTATTGGTACCTTTTTTCTCACCATAAAATAGTATAGTAAAAATCTGTAGTGTATAAATCGTTATTTTTTTAAATCTACGCGTCTGACGAGTCGGCTACTTAAATGCAATATCTTAGTACAACTTCCCATCACCCTAACCCTTGCTACAAAGCTAAATTGGGCTCTATAACATTGTAGTAATGTCTAAAATTCATTGTTTGACGACGGTTTGTTGGTGGAACATTGGTTTGGATGCTGAGAGAAGTTTCTCTGAGACGACGTGTGCTATTCTTGCGCTGCGTTGCCATACAAGTTCCCTGGTACGTTCATTGTTGCTGTCCACTCGAACCTGGGAATAATATAAACAGTAATTAGGTAAAGAAAGATATTTTCTAATTGGAATTGCTGTAAGATTAGTGTAGATACACTTAATCATAAAATAGCGATAACGTTATTAAGCCCAATATTGTATGCAGACCCTTAACAGTTATTTTCTTTTCTATTTATGTTGCATCGCAATTTGAACTAAAATCCCCACTACAGTGCCCGGCGATAAATATTACACATCGAATTTAAAAGAAAAAGTAAAAATATTCACATCGAATATTTTGTGTGATATTGCAATCATTTAACTGTCCAAATCATTTCTTTTTAATCTCATTATATTTCGAGGAGAGTGATTTACTAGTTTTAGCAGGTCACTATTATGTGCAGTACGTATTCTTCAAACTCGGCCACCTGTCTCTTTCCATGTGCAATATTTATCGCCGACTGGTACTGTACGGATGAAGTAACCAATAGTTATAAACTTCATACTATTCTGAATATATGTCAAACACCAAACGGTCACCGGTGACCGCAACCTATTGTTCTATAATAGTGTCTACAAAACCGGTACTCGACGAGTTAAGCAACATGATTTATCACCTATGCAATAAATCATGCTGCTGTCATGCTTTCTGTCGGAAGCTGTCGATGTTATAGCAAGTCACCAGTCACGAACGACTTTAACACGATATCAGGCAAAACGTCAGGGGATTTCATTTACACTTGTAAATCATTGCTCATTCACCATTATAGTTGCTTATACCTTCACTTCTAATGCATTCTGGTACAAATAATCTTGGCTAAATTACCTGTTTAGGCTGCAGAACCTTAATGGTATGTAGAGTAGCGACTCCTTGGTTGTTTACTCTCAGAGTCAGTTTTCCCAGCATCTCAGCTGTAGTTGCTGTGGCTGATCGGATGTCTTTTTTAGCTCCACGGCCAACCTACAGAAATAAAATCATTTTAGCATAAGATTTCATAAAATTAGGCGTAGAAACACTTCTAATCAAGGTCTAAGTCATTTACCTCTTTCTCGACTCTGAGTATCAGGGGTCCAACAGCAAAGTTACTCTTGACAGTAGTGTGATCGGCCATGATGCTAACCGATACATCTCCAGTCCTTCTCAAAGATGACAGGCCGTATAATGTTCCCTTTGCCCTCGGCTTGCTCTTCTCTGAAGTCTTAGTCTTATTCTTGGTCTTGTTTGTTGCTGGTTTCTTTGTTGTAGTCTTCGTTGGTTTCGGTTTGGGTTTCGTCGCCTTAGTAGGGGCTTTAACAGGCGGCTTTACAGCGGGCTTCCTAGTTACTGTAGGCTTGGCTTTCTCTGAAGCCTTTTCCTTAATTGCTCTTGGCTCCTCCGCAACAGGAGTCTGCTCTCCAACCACTTCGTTAGGTTTCACATCATTAA